ACAACAACATCATCGTCATCTCATTATCATCACTTCGTCATCGTCATTATCGTTAGGGCGGTTTGTTGACGTCACCCATGTACGAAGTAACACTACTACCAGAACTTGCATGATGAAGTGTCGCCAACATCGCTACCACTAGCTCCACATTTTAAACAGCAAGTTCAAATGTTTTGTAGAAAATCATACAACATTCTTACTATAAAAAAAACAAAGCTCACAAACCCCACTTTTTGAAATGTGGAATCTGACAATTTACATCATTGTAGGACGAAATTTTAATTAAGTTATCAGTATGGAATGAAATAACACGTGAGCAGTTTAGCTTGCAGTTGATGGAACTGTCTTATAAGAAAAAAAAATTCGTTAAACGGTAAATATGAATCACTGCTTAAAATTTCCTTTAACTACACCAAAACTGTATGTAGCTTTCATCAGGTTGCATTGGAACAAGCAACATCATGTTCTGATCGTGAGAGTCAGCCAGCAACTGACCGGAACAACATCGAACATTCAAAATGTTGGACATCAGGCATGAATCTAAGTGGTGCAAGTTGGACACATTTTCTTTCAAATAGAAAAAGACCACCAACCACCAAGACAACAAAACACGAATCAACCTCCCAAGTTGCCCTATCAAAGAGCAACCACAACAACAACAATAACAACCAATTAGCGTTAAAACGTTTATACAGACATGAAAAAAATTCAATTAGTCAAACATCCATCCCACGACGCAATAAACCATTTCACGACAAAAATTACTTTAAAATTAAAGCTTAAAAGTAGCGAGTAGCGATTTCATTTTAATTTTAAAGTAGAGTGGCCAGCTAAGTGGCGTTTCTGTAGCGCCGCTAGCTGCCGCTACTTTGCTGCTGAAGACCCGGTTTATTGTCTTTATCACCATCACATCATCTCCACTGTTTTAACCTTCATCACATAACCAGTGCTACTTCATCATCGTCATCAACGTCATATTCGACGTCATCATCATCATCATCGTCATAATTATCATCATCATCGTCGTCGTCATCATCATCATCATCACCATCATCATTATCACCACTATAATCTACACCATCATCATCATCACTATAATCTACGCCATCATCATCATCACTATAATCTACGCCATCATCATCATCACCGTCATCATCGTCGTCGTCGTCATCAGTATGACGTCTAGCATTAATTTCAACATGGCGTCTGTTGTAATGCGATATTTAAGATATCTTTGTTGTTCACATCCATATGCAAAAAAAAAACAAAAACAACCATAGATAACAAATAATAAATTTATAAATAACAATTTGATCTGATTATTATCTACCTTTCTATCACTATATATTATCATAATTATCATCCTCTTTATTACTATTATTATCATTATTATTAAATACTATTATAATTAAATTAATAATAATGTTTTGTTGAACATTAAAAATGTCTTCATTATTATTTTTAGTAATGTTATTATGATTCTCATTAAAATATTGTTGTTATTCTTATTCTTATTATTCTTATTGTTGTTTTTATTGTTATTCTTATTATTATTGTTGTTGTTGCTTTTATTATTTTTGCTATTAAATTGGAGCGATGAAAAGTTAGAACGCTGAGATTACACAACGTTGAAATAACATTGTTGGCGTTGATGGTGATGATGATGATGATGATAATGGAGGTGGTGGTGATAGTGATGATGACGACGATGATGATAACGATGAGGGTGGTAGTGATGTTGTTGATGATACGATGTTGATGATGATGAAGATGACGATGTTAATGATGTTGTTGTTGATGACGATGATGGTGATGATAATGATTTTGTTGTTGATGATGATGGAAAATAATAACAACAATTACTCTGACGCAAATCTAAATAAAGATGAAAAAATATATATATAGGTGATGATGATGAAGAAGATGATAAAGTTAATGATGATGATGACGATGAAAAAGATGAAAAAGAAGAAGAACAGGGTGAAGATGATGATGATAATGATGATGGAGATGATGATGATAATGATGATGGAGATGATGATGATAATGATGATGGAGATGATGATGATAATGATGATGGAGATGATGATGATAATGATGATGGAGATGATGATGATAATGATGATGGAGATGATGATGATAATGATGATGGAGATGATGATGATAATGATGATGGAGATGATGATGATAATGATGATGGAGATGATGATGATAATGATGACGGGGACGACAAAATTATGATAAGGTTCATAATGAAAGAGGTTCGTGTAGTAATGAATAATCTCGAGCCTTATCACATGAGTGAGAAGAAGGCTATTCGCAAATGTTAAACTTATATGAAAACTAGTTGAAACGATAAAGAAGATGATGATGACGATNATAATAATGATAATAAAAATAACAATAATAACATAATGATGATTAGTAGGAGGAGGGAGTGATGGTGACGATTGTGGTAATGGTAGTGATGACGATGATTGTGGTGGTGGTGGAGATTGTGGTGGAAAGAAAGTAAAGATGAAAAGGTGGAGTATGATTGAAATGTGATATCTTCATCCCCATCTTCTTTATCATCCTCATCATCTCCTTCATCATCATCACCATCTTCATCATCACCATCATCATCATAATTTTTTTTATCATCTTCCTTTTTTTCATCGCCATCTTTTTCATCATCATCTTCTTCTCCATCATCTTCTTATTCATCATCATCATCATCTTCTTCATCATCATCATCTTCTTTATCATCATTATCTTCTTCAATCATCATCATCATTTTTATCTTCATCCTCATCTTCTTCTTCAATCACCATCATCTTCCTCATCATCGCCATCATGCAATTTCAAAATTCGTCACATCAAACGATAGATCTAAATAAAGTTTTCCTTTAGAAATTGAAAATAAATATATCATATGAAAAATGTCTATCTTTCTCTCAAAATGTGAATTTAATTAATTTCTAATTTATATAATTTTTTTAAAAATTCAATAAAAATGTTTTTTAACTTTTTTTTTCAAAAATTAAAAAAATATTTTTCCTCCTTCTTCTTGCTGGCGTTCCATTCATCTGCTGCATGATTAATCTGGTTGAAGCGTTCAACGAAATTATGATGCATCGGATTCGTGTGTGTGTGTGTGTACGTGTGTGTGTGTATGTGTGTTGTTGTTTACATGTATGTGTGCTTCTGTGTGTGTTTGTTTGCATGTTTTTGTATACGTATGTATGCGTTATATGATTGTCAATTTTTATAACTTTTTGATGTATGTGTCTGGTTGTATGTATGAGCTCTTGTAAACAAGTTTGCTTACATATGGGTCTGTGTGTGTGTTTGTGTGGGTTTTGGTGTGTCTGTGACAACTTTTATCTATTCCTTCATGATGTATGTCAGTCTGCTTGCGTGCTTGTCCGCCGTACATTTCTTCTCAAGTGCTTTCTACGTGTGCATGTTCACATTTTGAAAATGTTTATGTCTATAGCATGTCTTTGTATGTTTGTATATTTGTTAGCGTGTATTTTTGTTTTGTATGTTGTTTG